ACATGTCAAAACACAAGTATTTATCGATCGATATACTCTAGTAGGGGGGCAAAATATCGTGGTACATAAGAGGAGCAGATATCCATAGAGATCTGAGAGTTGATTCCATCGAAAAAAACATTAAAGTTCATACACTGAAACTGTTCAACATAATTGACACAGTCACAATAATCCGACACTTAACAACCTAAAAACACAGTGAAACCTGATAAACACAGGCAGATATAAAGACATCAGATCCATCATTTCATAAAGTCATCGTATGCAGTTGTTCTTGGTGTGACTTAAAACTGTTCACAAGTAAAATAATATCACGAACTCAGGTACAAACGCATACATTCTTTAATAGATTCTGGAACTGGTTACCTATTTTATTTGAGGTAAAGAAAAAGAAAAGGGGGTATCTCAAAAGGTAACAGTATATAAACCGGTATATCTTATTGGCTCTGAAACAAGGAGCCCATTTCTTTTTGAAGGAAAGCTAATAGAAAGTAGTTATTAAATAGTAGAAATCAATTGATCGTTGTACTTTTAATAGATTTTAGAACTAGATACCTATTTTAATTGAAATGAAGAAAAAGTAAAGGAGGTGTTAAAAGGTAGGATCGGTATACTTTATAGAAAAATTGAGAAGTGCTGTCAAAATTTAAAAATTTATATACTTATTGTGATATGTTAATAGCGCTAGAACTTGAAAACCACTTTACTTGGCATAGAGAAAAAAGGTTAGATGCTGTCGAAATAAATATTTTATTGATCGGTTAAAATGAAAAAAAAAACTATAAAAGAGTATAAATTTATTGATTGATGTACTTAAATAGACACTGGAACTAGAAACCTATTTTATTTTATAGAAAGGAAAAAGAAAATGTACTGTCAGAACGTAAGATTTATTTGATTGTTGTACGTAAATAAACACTGAAACTAGAAAGTCTCTTTTTCTTTAAGGAAAGAAAACTGAAAGGAACTATCGAAACTTAAAAATTTTGAAGTACTTAGAAGTATTCCAAATATTCTCTTAAATATACATATAATCAGCAGCTTTTAGCCTATCTCTAAGTTCTTCCTATTAGAATCTTCTTAGTAAGTTAAGAGAAATTCGAACTTAAAAGTTCTCCAGGAATTAATACTCGAAATGTTTTAACTATTAGCAATCTGTAACCTTAAATTCTTATCTAGTTTTCCCTCTTAAATAAGAGAAATCCGAAATTTAAAGGGACTTCAAATAATCTCTACTATTCTAAACAGTAAATAGCATAAAACGAATGGTCGGTCTATTATGATAAAATTGTTTATTATCACAGATAAAAAATCATATAAATCAAATTAGTTTCTAAACTTGATAACATATAAAAAAGGAGTAGATATTTTTTATTTATTTTTAACTAAACTTTCTACAAAATTATATACATCTATGACTTTGAAATATACAGCGCTATTAAAGCACCATATACTCGTACTTCTCGAATCTTCTTCATCATCTATAGGTACTAGATCTTTCTAAAATAATCGTAGATTAATATTATTATGCATTTAAAAACTTAAAAACTGTTTAGTCTGCTCTTGTCTGGATATATTTTATTACTAGAATTTTATAGAACTATATTCGTATATGAAGATAATATGTAATACATGTAAATTGTAAATAAATACTCCACTTCCATGTAATTCTATATAACAGAATTTCCTTATACTCGTAGAATTTTTGGCGCGTGCTTTAAGTCAAGTCTGTACCGGTGGGCTACGTGCCGGTCGTATTACTCAATATATTGCCATAAACAATCATTTTCAGAGCGTGAAAATGCAAAAACAAATATTTCAGTCATGGGTGCTGACCGTAGACAAAAACATGCTCAATATATGTACGTCTATGTTCGATGTTCGTATGTCTAATGGATAAAAATTGAAAACAATAAATTCATATTAAAAGTATAAACAAGTTTGGCCATGGATGATAATATATATTTGTATATTGATCGAAATGTTTATATACAGATACATAAGTAAGTTAACATGTCCGTATATTTTTTAATATGTACATACATACATATATGTGAAGGCCCCCAAACACGGTATTTATGCGATATCAATTTGTTAAGAATTTTGTTTTCTTCTTTTTGTTAACAAACAAAATTTTTAATCTAATTTTGTTTTTAAAGAAAATTACGCACTTTTAATTAAACTTTTTCTAAAAAAAAAAAACAATATTGTTTATTTAATAATTAATTGATATAATAAATGAGGTTGTTATCGAAATCTTACCATTTACCAAATATAGGTGAAATGAAGATAAGTACTTTCATTTATTTTTTTTTTTTGTATTAATTATAACATTATATCTCAGATTTAATTTATTTACAATTATTATAAAGGAATAAACAAAATTATTTATTCTATAATCAATCGATATAATGAATGGGATAGTCATCGATCTATCGATAGTCTTCACGTTGGGAAAATGTGGTTGTAATCGAGATGAGTGGTGGTTTCTTTTATTTTAATCATTAAAAACATTTTAATTTAAACTATATGTTTAATAGGTGATTAATTAATTAATATAGGCAATGGCTTAGTTATTCATAATCGTAAGTATATTTGCTTTTTTTTTGTTCTATAAAATGATAAAATTATTTTAAAAAAAATAAATTTATTAATTTATTAAATTATTTTTATTATTTTAACAAATAAAACATAAAATTTGAATTCATTACATCCATAAAAAAAAATACTATAAGGATATAAACATTATTAATCATTTTGTGGTTACCCATAAATACAATGGACTCGGTTAAAACAATGATTTTTTTAGTAAACAAACGATTTCCCTCAAAAGTACACTGCAACAAATTACAATGAATTTACAAGGTTATGTTTCCCGACTACCCATTATCATCGAAATCCCGATGCGGTAAAAACTTCTGGCAAGGTTTCAGCCTTCGCAATAAGGGGCAACTAACCATATATGTACATACTTATTTTTTGCGTCTCTTTGGAAAAGTAAGCATAGTACTCTTTCATCTAAAAAGTCAACTGACTCTGAGATATATAGCCAGCACCTCATTTTCTACCATATTGCGTGTAAGAATTTTAGCCCCATTGATCTACAGCTTTACTCCATTGAGTTCACATGATTATTATAGCTCTTACTGGTTTATTTTCAATACTACTTAGCCCACACTTTCACTCTACATATACTCCACAATTTACTACTTCTTATCCATCCAATTTCGTGAGCTCACATGATTATTATAGCAATTCCTGGTTTATTTTCAATACCACTTAGCCCACACTCTCACTCTACATATACTCCACAATTTATTACTTCTTATTCATCCTACTTCATATATGTGTCTTGTTGTTCTTTTATGCTCTTTTATGCTCTAGAATTGAACAAACAAACTTTGAAACGTCGGTGATACCTATTTGTATAGACTTCTATATAATGTTAGAAACAAAACTAAAAACTGATTTATATTTAATTTTATTCCCATCAGTATTTCTAAAACAAAAATAATTAAAGAAGTGAACTCACAACTACTCAATATTAATTTCTTTATGTTCTTGTTTGTTCAAGTTAGACTATTTTCTGTACTACCTTATCCAAATTCTCATTCTTTGTACATGTCTTACCGACCTGTCTTTCTTTTCATCCCACCCCATTTGTTCGTATTGTAATTACTTTATATACACACTTCCTCGATCTGAACTAGTTTTAATACTACTTTAAATTCTCGGTCACTCTCTATATATATTTCAACAATACCCTATCCATTTAAACTCCATTCCATCTACTTGTTTTTTTGAAATCCATTCGTTTTTTTGTAATCCATTCGTTTTCTTGTAATTCATTCCTACATGATATCCATTATCCATGGTATCCATTACTCAACACTCTTTAACGTTAAAATTCAAAATTCTACTATCTTTTTTTTTCTGAACACTGGGTTAGCTCCGTAATGGAGAGCTGAGGTGATCTGAAGTCGGATCACAGCAATAACAGCAGTTAAGGTCAGTGTCTAGTAGCAGTAATGATTACAATTACCTTTACTCAAAACTACTATTATAACTATATTCTATGTTAATCTCAACTAAATATTTTATTATTCTACATTAATCTCCACTCTATATTTTTATATTCTACATTAATCTTCCATCAACATTTCTATATTCTATATTAACCTCGACTCAATATTAATATTTCTATATTTGGTATTTACCTCCACTCAATATTTCTATTATTTCTGTATTCTACATTAATCTTTAAAACGTTATGGATATAACTATGTTTACATTTATACAAATATGTATTTATAAAAATATGTACATATTTTTGCCAATAATAAAGTAAATTCCTGTTTTCCATACAAGTTTTAACAAAAAACAATTAGAAACCAACTAATCCAATAAACATAGCAATTGTTCTATATATAGTGCATATTACATATGTACGTATAAATATACCTACCGGAATACGCACTCTTTACGCACGTACGCACATAAATCTTCTCGGCAAATTTGCTTGGAATGTTCTAGAATTTTAGAAGCATTTTATAGGTATGTATATAGGCATAGGTATACCACGATGTAAATTTATTCAAATTAATTATATCAAAATTTTTAATACACACATATATTTATTTTTAACTGTTAATTATCATCATATAAAAATATGAGTAATATGGCAAATAATTTTATTAAAAAAAATTTAATTATTAAATTATTATAGTTTATTATTTATAATTTAAAATTAGAAGGTGAAGCAGAAACACACTGTTCACGCCTTCATGCTAGTTATTTATTAGAATATGTATTGATCTGCTAAATAATATTAGGACCTGCCTCCTTGGTTTCTGACATTTTATGTGGACGGTATAGGACTTTTATTTGAACCTATAATTCCGGTCCGTAGAAGAAACATGGTTAATGTGATACATCCGCAACACATATATCTTTATTTAAAAAAAAAAAAAATACAGCAAATACTTTAAGTGGATCATCTATAAAATATTAGTTTAAGCGTTATTTCTAATTAAAAGCGTAGCAAACTTTGTTGTTTGGTTCAGGTCCATGGCTTGTAGTCAAAAATTATATACGGATAATAAAACTAACAGATTTTTGAAGATAGTCTGAAGACTAGTGATAATAAATATTTAGTGAACTGCTTTTCCGAATCAGCTGTATGGTTAACCCAGGAACTTATTTGATAAACAAAAATTTTTTTTAGATGTGAAAATTTCCTCACATTTATCTCACCCTCTGGAAGCTGGTACCCTGTTTATTTCTATTCTATCTATAGAGCATTAAATTCTTAATTATTAAATTTTCTTTACCAACTTTCTTAATGTAATACATAAAGTTCCAACTTTATTGATTTATCAAAGATTTCCTGTTTTAGAAATATATTCAACCAAGAGGTACACGGATCAACAATTGAATTTGCTATTGTAAACTTTTTCTACTTTGTTGGAACCTATCCAATTTTACTGTCTTATCAAAGATTTTCTGCTTTAGAAAAATATTCTATAAATATTTTTCGTGTATCATTAATAAAATTTTCCATAGAAAGTTCATCTTCTTTTTTGTTATCTAAAGGGAGAGGTGTGTGACACTTAAACGTCAACTCAGCGTAGTTGCTTTGAGTTGTAGACCTGGAAGCTTCAGAAGCCATAGAAATTTCATTGCATTGTTCCTCTTCCAATTCCGCTGTTTCATTCAAGTAATCTGTAGAATTCTGCTTATACCATAGACTTTTCTCCATAAGGAAATTATGTAGAACACAACAACACAGTATAATTTTTGTACTTTTCGCAGTATCTAATTTGATATCCTTTTGTAAGATTTTAAATTTTTCTCTCATAATACTAAAAGCATTTTCCACACTTTCTTTTGCTTTACTTAAACATAAATTATAGTTAATAATACTAGGTTCACTCAATGTTCCGGTAAATGGTCTTATAAGGTTATACATTAGTGGAAATGAGTTATCTGCTACCATAACATAAGGTGCAATTTTATCTCTGTTGATATAGTCATCTTTTGGGAAAAACTCATCACTTTGCTGAAAAATTTTACACAATTTGGAACTTTTGAATAAGAAATCATTATTTAAATGGTTATCTTGTTGTAGCCCACAAGGATCCGTTTGTGTAGTTCCTTGAGTGTGTGTTGAACTGCACTTGGTCCTCAAATAACTTCGAGACGTAGATTTTGTCATTCTTAAAGCGTTATCAGCTACAATATCAATACAAATAAATTTTTCATTTGCGTTGGCTATTGCTATTAGCGCCATACTATTAACAACCCTGTTGTTGGTATATGAAGTGGCATACTTTTTTGTGGGAGTGTTGGCTATATGCTGAACACCTAAAGCACCCAAGCAATGTGGAAATTGACTGCGTTGTTGGAAGTCATTAACAATGCTTAACCATTCCTTTTTGGTGTGTGGGAACTTTAATGAAATAAATTATTTAATTAAATTAAATTAAATTATATACAAAATTATGCATACTTTTAAAAAACGTTTCTTTAATTTTTTGTATATAATTTCACACATTTCTATAATATTTGCTTTAAGGAACGTTTTTGTTAGCAACGTACTTTCGCTGAGTTCTTTGAAGCTTTCCCCGTTCGCTAGAAATCTAAGCGTTATTGCTAAACATTTTTCAACTGGTGTAACACTTTTCGTTAAGTGTGCATCCCTAAGGGACATTTCTTTTTGCACGTATTCCAAAAGCTCTTCAAAACAGTTTTCATCCATTAATAAATATGATTTGCAGTTGCTTTTGTTGTTATTATTTTCGGCTAACTTATATTCTTCAAATAGATATTGTATATACCTGCGCGCATCGCTTTTTCTTCTTCTACGTTTACTTTTATCCGATAAGTTTTTTACGATTCCCAACATATTTAAAAACACGGCACTCAATGCGGCTAATTAGAAGTAATTTTCCATTTGGATCCATTTTTTTAAATTTGTTTTTATATTTAAATTTGAATATTTACAAATATTGTACGCCACCGCGCAACAAACAATAACAATAAAACTACAGAAGAAAATTTTAAAGAAAAATCTTTGCTGGTCATGTGGCAGAAAGAGAAAGCAAGCAACATTCAGTGAAGCACGAAAACAAAACAGAAATAACAAAAACAAGCAGCAGTAGCGGCAGCAGCAGCAGCAGCACAACGGCTTAGCTGTGTAGTAACAACTCTCCCGAATAACATATTCGCACAAAAGAAACAATAAGAAAAATATAGAATATACAGGAAAATAATAACAACAAGAAAAAAATGAGCCGGCATATAGTAAAGTAGGGGAAGTAAAGCGAAAAACAATAAGAAACAAAAACAAATACAGAGCAGCAGCAAGTCATACAAGCAGCAAAGCAGAGAAAAGGCGAAATGCTGGCTACAAAATCATTGCTACGTTCAGAACAAATTTTGTTTGCAAAGTGTAAAGTTGTGTTGTCGCAGCGAAAAAATAAGCTGGAAACGTTATTTGGAGAAATAATAGAAGAAAAAAAAGTTTAATTCCATTTGTGCTTTTACGGGTTTCTTTCTAGAAATTGAATAAAATTGAAGTAAACCAGTATTTTTTTGTTTTAATAAATTGAAAAAATAAGTTTGACAAAGAAATTTGACATTTCTATATTAGTTTGGAAATTAACATTTAATGTTACAAAAAAATTTCCTGTGTAAAAATTAAAGAAAAAATTTTAAAAAAAAATTATAAAAATTGCATTCTAATTGATAGAAAACAATTGCACGAGAGAAAAAGTTTGAACATACTTTTTCTCTCAATTGCAAAATAAAAAAAAGTGTTAAAATAAATTGCAAAAATCAGAGAAGTACTGAAAATTATATCCTATTAAAAAATATTTTAAACAATTTCCTTCCAATTTATAAAAAAACAGCAATCTTTATGTGTTGAAAATTTACTGCAAGGAAAAAAAACAAAAATTATGCAAAAGCACTAAAACAAGATCTTTGGAGCAGCAAATCAAAAATTGTAAGTTTTGTTTTTACTTTTTTTTTGTTTTTGTTTTATGTATTCTTTTTTAATATGAATTTGCATTATCCTTCTAGTCCATGCTTAAAAAACACAAATAAAGCTCAGCTGTTGCAACTAAAAAAAAAATGCGATGTTGCCAGTTTTATTAACTAAAATTTAAACGCTAATTTAAAAATAAATAATGCAATTAAATATGCAAATATTATTTGGTGTTTAAATTTTAAAATTTTCCAAAAAAATTGTTCGTGTGAAAAATATTTTTAATATAGAAACAAAACACGTTGTGTCGGTAGTATTTTTTAATATCTATTTCTATTAAATATGTCGCTCGCTGTGCCTACCGGCTAACGTGAGACTTTCAAACCCTCATTTTTGTGTGTGTTATTTAATCCCCTCAACTTTGTTGTAAATTAAGGCATTTTATTGTATTTCACTGAATGTGTAAATGCCTATTAGACAATGGAAAATTCTAGAAATATAATTTACAAATATCTACTTCAGCTGATTTCATAGGCAACGATGGTTGATATTTTTTTCTGGAGAGAAATTTATTTCCTCTTTCCACTTTGTTTTCTGCCTTTTTTTCATATGCGCAGCGCAATATAAAAATATATGTGGTAGGTTTGGATATTTAAGTTGGCTGGCATTTACTTTCTGTGCCGACTTCTGTGTGTATTAATTATTATGTTTTTTTATTTTTTAAATGTTTTGCTTTGTTATTCAAATGAACTTGTAAGTTAGGTTTTAAACAAAATAAAAATAGTTTTATTTTTTTTTTTTAAATTGCTATATATTGTGTGTAGTGTAAACACTTTAATAACCTCCCTATAACTGGGAAGATATCTAGCTAGATTGTTAAGTTTTAAAACTAAGTTTTTTTTTAAATTGTAACCTCCCTATAACTGGGAAGATATCTAACTAGTTTGTTAAGTTTAAATTGGTATACCTTGTGATTATGTAGTGTAAACGCCTTTATAACCTCCCTGTAACTGGGAAGATATCTAGCTACATTGTTGTCTTAAAGCCAAATTTTTTTTAATTAACATATATTGTGAATATGTAGTATAAACACCTTGATAATCTCTCTATAATTGGAAAGATATTTAGCTACATTGGTAAGTCTTAAAGTCAGGTTTTTTTTAAATTGTAACCTCCCTATAACTGAGAAGATATTTAGCTATATCGTTAAGTTTTAAAACTAAGTTTTTTTAATTGGTATACCTTGTAAATATGTAATATAAACACCTTGATAGCCTCCCTATAATTGGGAAGATATTTAGCTACCTTGCTAAGTTTTTGAGCAGTTTTTTTTTAATTACAAGTGAGGACCTGATTGTAAAATACTTTTGAGGTATAAAACTGCACATAGTCATCGAAATTTATGAGTGAATCCGGGACGTAGCATCGACCGTTTGTGAAACGAATATATATTGTGAATAATATTGAATAAGAAATCATCATTTAATAGTTATTATCAACAATATCTGATTGACATATTACGTATCGCATAATCGCTCTATATACTGTAGAATGACTTCTAAATCCTAACTTATATACCTTTCAAATATACAGTATAACATCATCTTCTTGGGCTTCTAAGCCATTCTAACTGACAGTCCTTGAAAAATGGACTAAATCACATAATAATCTGAAGCCTTTAAATCGTCTTAACGATACATTTCTGAGACATCAAAAGCATGCTATCATTCTTTAACAAATGATTTGAATCACATAATCTTGTACGGTTTTCAAACCGTCTTAACTTTCATTCTGGACATCTTTAAAGGGTTCATACCGACGCCATCTATAGTCTTCTAACTAAAACGCAGAAAAACTATTATTTTAATAAACTATTATTTTAATATTATTTTATTAACATTTCACTAATTTGACAAGACAAAACTTCGTTTTAAAGTTAAAAGTTCCTTGCAAAAACGTTTTTGTATAATCCTATGCCCTTATGGCGACAGGGTCAAAATCTTTTTTAAAAAATGTTTTTAATTTATTACCGCCTATAATTTAGCACTTAAAGTTTAGTTTAAAAAAAAAATTATTTAAAATTAATCAAACTAATAATATTAACACATACATATTAAATAAATGCAAATGCCGGTAGAAACAACAGAATTTATTTATATTTCTATGTAGAGGAGGAAAAAAAAACCACGTTAAGTCTTTCTAATATTATGTGTTTACTTACCAAAAATAAATACAATATAAAAATTATATATACATGTGCATAATGTATATATATTGTATATATAAATATATATCAGTTCTTAACATCTTATTATATCTTTCGTTTTGCGTAAATAAATTAAATAATTTTTAAAATCATTCTTTTTTTTTTGTTTTGTTTTTCACCTTTTTTCTGCATTTAAATAAATATTCACCATTTGGCTAGCGTTTATTTGTTTTTTGTCTTATCAAAATTTATTTTTGTTGATTTTATTTCACTTGCCATTAAATTTTTTATATATATTTTTTTTTATTTTAATGATTATGCTATTTTTGTGTATTAATATATCAACAACACGTGCTTTTAATATTTGCGTTTTAAAATTATTTAATCATTTAAAAAATATATATATTATATTAAAAATGTAGATACTTTTTTTTTATTTGTATGAGACAGTTTTATTGTTTTTTGTTTTGTTACTAAATGCAGATCATTCTCTATTGAGTGTTTTTTTTTATTTTTTTAATAGGAAATTAAAAAATGCACAGTTTTACGTATAACTTGGGATATTCTTTATTATATTCACCATGGCTTAAGAAAATTCACCAGTTTTATACACTGTAATTATCATTCTTAAGTTATATACACTTTAAATGAAAAATAAAGGAATAATTTTAAATTGTAATCTTAATTAAAAAAAATAACTGATTATTATAAACATAAAATTTAAATAATCAGCATAAATTGTTAAAGTTGATTATTAACTATTAGTTACAATTGAATTGATTGAATTGATTAAAATTAAATTAGATTTATGTGTTGTCTGCACTGAAATGTTTTATTGAAGAATTAATAAGAAAGTATTTAAATAGCTTAGAAAATTTTTATATTTGTTTTAATTGAAATTCAATTATATATATATACGTATATATATATTCATATAAAATGTCTGGTTGTATAAATGCAAAATCTAAATGAATATCTAATATTGTTTCTTGAATATTTATCAACTTTTGTTTTGTAAATAGTTTTTATTATTGTTTACAATAATTTTTAATTTATGTACGTTATTTTTAATTTATTTTGTTTCATATATTTTACAGTTTTTGCTTTTAATTATTATTTGTAATGATTTTAATGAGAGTCAAATGAGTGAGTGGGTGTGTCTGTGTTTATTTTTAAAATGCAAACATTATATATATTTCTCTGGTATTTTTATTATATAAAATAAATTTTATGGTGCTAGTAAGATTTTTTTATTATTTACCATATAGAGAAAAAAAAACAGTTTTTAACTGCGTAGGAATAATAAAACCAAAGAAATAAAGGTTCTACGACAATTTTTAACTTCAAGAACTGTAGGACGTATATATCTGTATAAATTATACACAGACAAGTTGTTATGAAATACTTAACTATATAAGTAAAAACAATATAAATAGTTTATTCCAATTAAAACAACTGTTAACTGCATATTTGAGTAGTATTTTGTCGTGCTTGTGCACAAATAATAAATACTACACAATATAAATAAAAGATAGTTAAGTAATAAGTTATTATTAACTATTCAATATATAATAATGTTAAATATACATTAAAATGATGCCAATGTATTTCTACCTTTATTGTGATTACTGGTAAGATATAATCACAATACCTAAAAATACTTTTATGAAGCTATTTAAAGGACATTATAGTGATTTATGGTATATAACAGGCTAGATAAACATATTATGAACTCACTTTATCAATTATATATAAAAATAATCAGACCTTTGTTTCATGAAATCAACTTGTGAACTCTATTTGACAAATTAAGCTATCTATTATCTACTAATTAAAAATCAATAGTACTCTAAATAAGAAAATAAGGGTTTAAAATTGTGTTTTAGTTAGTTAAACAAGGGAAGGCGGGTTTAGGGAGCCACTTTGTTTTTGGTTATCTGTTTTCATGCTTAAACGCATACAAATCAAGCTATTTAATTTATGGTTCTGCCCTAATACGGTGAAAAGATTTTTTCATTTAGTCCCATGTCACGTTCAAACTTCCCCTTCTGTATTCATATTCTATATCTCATCATTTTCTCCCATTGTGAAAGCTTTGTCTTCTTTATATGCGTTGGATCTTCAGTTCGTCTTAAATTACAACTGTGATCACAGTACTTCATTTCACTGTTATCCTAGAACTCAATGCTTATTTCTGCATTTACAAAATCCATAGAATTCTTTTAAATATTAGAATTTGTATTTGCTTTTTTAACTATTTTGTTAAATTTATAAATTAACTTTATAGTTAATTTGAAATAGATTTAACTAAATATTATCTCCATTATTTTAGGTAGGTTTTAATGATGATCCCAAGCTTATTTGCTCCGTATAAAAAACTCGAAAAGTATAAAAAATTATTTGAAATCTTTAATGGAATATACTAAATGCTTTTCAAATACAGACTTTTTAACTTTTCTTGTCTGGAAAATAACTTAAACCAGATATTAAGCATTTTGTTTATTTTCCTGTCAGCTGGGACAAGCGTCTTCTTTGGTCTATGTGAGTCCAAATACTTTTTGTGTTGGACTGTTATAAATAATAATAATAATTGGTTAAATGGAGATATTTTTAAAGTTAATTATTTTTCCCAAAAGTTACTTTGCTATTCGAATTCTTTTAAAGAAAGGAAGATATTCAAGGATTATTGAGAAGCGCTGAATGGAAAGTGTTTGATCCACATTGCTTGATTCTTATTTTAAGAAGAAAAATTTTATTTATTTTATTTTTTGTATCTTCAGGATTAAGCGTATGCTGATTAAAAAGCGTGATT